GGGGGGGGACTAGTTCTATGGCGTGTCAGTTGCCACCAGAAACACACAACCTCCTTTCCTGCCCTTGCTGTGATCTGCAGAGAGGAAGGGTTTCAGGATTTAAGGAGAGAAAACACACACACACACACACACACACACACACACACACATAACAGCGTGGTTTAAAAAACACTGACCCCCCCATACCCCCCCCCCCTCACCCCCGACACTCACACACACCAGAGGCTGGAATTCTCCGTTCCCTCACAAATAGAATGAATTATTAAACATTATCATACACACACACACACAGACACACACGTCCGTCTCACTGGTTCGGTGTAAAGTCTCGTCATCGTCACTGCAGCCTGAGGTGTCACAGCCCAGGGACGTGGCGGCCCCGCCGCTGTATGACTGAGGGAGGGGGGGGGCAATGGAGGGGGGGGGAGACATGAGATACGATTAATTATTGTCTCATTTGTTTGCTTTTATTTGTAAATCACACCAGACCTGAGGGAGGGGGGGGGCAATGGACACTCTCACACACACTCACACACACACTCACACACACACACACTCCCAGGCTTCATCTTGGTTAATCGTTGTTGGAAGCGAACATTTGACCTAATTCAACTTCTCACACAATAGCAACCCCCCCCACACACACACAGACACACACACACACACAGACACACACACACAGAGGGAGATTTATTTTGCTCCACATGAACTCTCAGGTGGTTCATCCAAAACAAAACAAAAATTATTATTATTATTTATTAACCAATAATAATTATAAATCTTAATGTCATTAACTGTAATCAATCACACATATTGATAATGAACTAAAATCCATTCTTTAGATGAAGAACTGAGTCATCATAAGGTGGAATTATTTTAGTTTTCTCATCGTTGGTTAATGAGACCAGACCCCAGTGGACAGGTGACCCAGAGACCACCCAGTGGACAGGTGACCCAGAGACCACCCACTCATCCAGAACCAAAGATCCAGAAATCTTCAAAAAAATGTCTCATTATGTATATATAAGTTAACGAAGAATCTGAGGAGGAGTGAATCAAAATGTAAGACCTAAAAAACATGAACTCAGTTTTGGGTGATGTATCGAAACAGTCAGAATTTAAAAAACTCATTATAGAAAAAAAGATAATTTCCATACAATAAAAAATAAAATAGCAAATGTTTTTAAAACTCTTGATCAAAAACCAGTAAAGAATCAACCACGACCTCAAAATAACGAATGATTCAAAATTGACTCAAAATTACAGCTGCTACTACTACTACTACTACTACTACTACAGCTACTACTACTAATTGTAACACTTGTTCAGATATTTATATTTTTAGTTTATCTGCAAAATACAAAACATGAGCCCCCAGTTGACCATGGTTGTGAAGGGACAGGCAGATATGAGAAGATTTGAGGTTTTTATTGAGCTTTAAACCTGTTATTAACCTGAAGGTCAGATTAAATGGGATCGACTTTCCTGCAGAAAGGTAAATACTGTAGACGCTCGATGAAAAGAACGTCACAACAGAGTTCAGGTCGAGAGTTCATCCAAACTGAAAGAGTTGTTTGAGCGAGTTGAAAAAACTTGTTAAAAAAACCCCGACGTAACACAACAACTGCACGACGAGAGAGAAAAGACGACTTATTAGGAGGATCACGGCTTCTTCAAGTTTGTGTTTAAAAAATATATTTAGTTGACTGTTTGTACTGACAGTAACAAATACATTGAATATATATATATATAGATAGATATAAGTGTCTTACAATATATAATATAAAATATAATATAAAAAACAAAACCATTACACAGTAGTGCTCAGTCAATGTTTTTAAAAAAACATCTGGGTCGTGGTCTGTGGGTGGGGCCACACAGCTTTACGGTTTACGGCCCTAGAAGAAAATTGGCTTGTTTTATATATATATATTTTTATATATTTATATAGACGTATATATTATATAAACATATATTTTTGTGTGTATATGCATATGTACATATATAAGTATATATGTATACATATATGCATATGTTAAGATATATTTATATATTTATTTATTTATATATGTGTATATATGGGCAGCCTCTATGGCTCTAATAAAATCATCAGGTAATTAATCACTTTAATTAATTGAAATAACTAACACCTGTGACTGATTTGTGACTAAATCAAATGATGTAATTATTAACTTGGAGAAGTCGTTGTCCTGAACAACCCATCCGACTGTTGCATCAGTCCGACTGTCAGTCGTAGACTCACTGACCGTCCTGACCTCAGCTCTGTGTCTGTGAGCCGTTCTGTTGACATTAATCAGAAAC